GCTAAAAAGCTTGTCCACCTGCTAAAAAGCTTGTCCACCTGCTAAAAGCTTGTCCACCTGCTAAAAGCTTGTCCACCTGCTAAAAGCTTGTCCACCTGCTAAAAGCTTGTCCACCTGCTAAAGCTCGTCCACTTGCTAAAGGTCTGTCCCGGGTTCAGCCTGTAAACCTTTAGACTTCGGCCTTGGGATAGGCCTTGAGAGTTGCGGTACAGCGGCTTGGTGGCTGGACTTGGGCAGCCAATAATCATCAAAGCGGATTCAAAAAGAAAGTATCATCACCCCAAAACGGTTGACCGAGACTGAAAGGCCACAAGTGGACCGAGGCGAACGCAAAACTCTGACTGCTGATGATGTCGGGAAATGTAACCAAACCTTGAACTTCAGAAAGGACCCTAGCAAAAAAGAATGATTGTCGGATTATCTACTGCATGCCATTTCTCCATCACGGTCATCACCCTTATCACAACAACAACAATAATAATAACATCATAATTGAATCATAATCATAATAACAATAATCATCACTCTTGAGTCTTTTCGAAAAGGACACCCAATTTTATGCTGCCCGAAAACCACGGCCGCCTCGGCAGCATCGCATCATGGGATGCACAACCATCAGGTGGAGCTGCTACCCCGTCGGACAGCGGTGCTGTCAGCTGCGTGGGTTGTCAGCTGCTCAAATGAGACTCTGAGATGGGTTCCATCTGATCAAGGTGCAGTCATCGCAGAAGAACCCTGAGGTTGGTAATAGTTTCGCATAGCTTGCACTGAGTCCTTGGAGAGTCCCCCCCCACAAGAAACAACATCATCAACCGCAGCAACTTCTTGTCCATGACGGCCTTTCCACGAGACATTTCTTAGAAGACACTGCACTGCACTGACAATTGGACAAAACAGTCATAGCACGGCAATAATTTTTGCTTCGCTGCAGAAAGCTTATTCATAGTGGCTGAATTCATGCGAGATACCGCATGCTGCATGCTCATAGTCATGCTCATATAATTGACAGTTGCTAATTAAGTTAAATGATGACATCTATGAAACTATATTTTTCACCGCTATGTTTTTTGCGCATAATTATATATAATATATATATATATGTTAAATTCATTTACAGTATCTATCCTATAGATCCACCTGTATGGGAGTGTGTAGGAACCGACTGGCGGATACGTGCGAGTGCACCCAAAAGCCAGGCGAACAACTGCAGGTAGACCTACAGGTTATAACCACTCAAAGTTCTGAGTAGAAGAGCCCTCTAACTTTTCGAACCCATCAAGCTCCTGACTACTGCAGTTTCTGTGTGCCATGTTCTTTGGACGTCTCTTGGCTCGAAGAGGCTGCAAAAACCATGACGACTTGATGAGTTCCAAGTGGTGGGACTGCGTCAGGATCGACGTGGAGACGCTACGAGTACACCGGTGGAGTGCTGTTTCCAGGCCAACCCACGGGGTCCCAGTGAAACGGCTCACCACCCGAGCTCCAGGTGGCACATGTTCGGAGCCTAGTTCGTGTCTCGGATGGTTTGAAACGCCCAGTGAAGACGACCCCGTCTTATCCACTGTTTCGAAAACGAGAAAGATGGTGATCGAAACTCTGAACATAACAGTGAACGACTCCTGGATGAGGGAAAATTATTGACCAACCCAACCCGCTCAACATCCACTGTTTCGATCACCATGGTCTTCCCACCCACCTCCATGGCCGAAGTTTCCCCGATTTTCCCCAGAAGTTGAGCCAGGGACGCATGGCGGAAGCTGTCGAAGTTGACCCATGACGGAAGCATTGATGCTTGGAAAGGGAGTTTCTAGGCTAGCAATCAATCAGGGTTCCAACTCTTGACCACTCTTGACAGACTTTCTGGTTAAATGCTGGGTATTGAAGAGCCATCACAGGCCACGTTATTTTTTTGGTGTGTGTGTGTGCGCGTGGACATGATGTCAGGTCAGAAACAGAAACATGCAAAAGTCACTCAGGTTTAGAAGCTTTAGCCAAAAAGGCAGTTCAGCTGAGGCACATCCAGTTCATCCCTGGGGCCAAATTCGCCCCCCGCCCTCTTGCCGGCATCCAGGATATGGGGATATATGGGGTATAAGACCATGGCGCTTTCAGGAACCGAAGGTTTTTGCCGTTTTCCTGCGGTTCTCCCAGGGTTGGACACGTCTCTCGGTTTTTCATTTCGCTGCAGGTCTCCCCAGCCTGGTTGAGATCTGTGGAGGATGAAGCGTCGCCTACCAGGCATGCGCCATCGCATGGTATTTAAGTAACACAACATAATTTGCACTGAACTTGACTGAACCCTCCAGTCCATTGTCCAAGCACACCAGCCGCAAGGACTGTGGCAGTCTGATTAGCTAAGGAGGTTCAAAATACTTGATAACACTTGTATTTGTATAATCACCGTGACCACTTTTGAAGTTGCAAGAGAAACACCAACGTCTGTTGGGAAAAAGGCACTCTCTCCATCCATGTTCTTTTCCACAAAACCACGCGCGATCGTCTAAAACCACATATAATATATCCCTGGTTTTAGTGGGACGTCCTTGAACTCAAATCACACCAACATATGGATCCCCTGCCATCTAAAAAGAAGGACTCTGGACTCTTAGAACTTAAAAACGCATCCCAACGGGAAGTTGAAAAGGTTTACCAATCCACCTGGATGGGGTTTGGAATCCAAATCCCAAAGCAAAAAGCGCAGAACCAAACTGTTCCGCGAACCCGGGCTTCCCCAACGCACGCACCCGACAGGCGACGTGTGCCTGTCATCTTTGGGGAGGCCTTGGTTTCCGGCGGATGTCGCACCGCCGAAAGGGCGTGAGAAATCGTTGTCGACAAAGCGAAAAGCGTCCAGCGGCGAACAGGAAGTCAGCGGGATTTGTGGAGATGGAGTGTCATTGCCAAGTCTCTAAGGCATCCAATCAATCCGGGAATCCGTTGCCGTGGGGAGCGGTTCATGACAAACAAGGGACTGTCAAGTCAAGGATGTGATCTTGGAAGCACCACACGTTGGGATGCTATCTCAGTAGGCCTCTTTTTGTCCACTGGTCTCAGGCAACGAATTGTGACCTTCAGGTGTAAACATCGGCCTCTTGAGCCACAGGTTGTCGGTCTCTTGCCTGCATGGTCGGTTGATGTTCGCTGTCTCGGGTTCAACCATGATTGGTCAACCAATCACGACTGGCCATCCTTTGGACTCAGAACCAACGCCAACATGCTGTCTGTCTTCATATGGACGCTCACTGCTCACCTTCATGCACCGTCCGGTGCACGGCCAACGCCGCACTCCCTGGGTGTCGGACGGACGAGTTCACACCAAACGGGGACACCTCTGCGCAGGCCATGCACGTGTGGAACTCGGAACGCGGAAGGTTCGGTCCCGGTGGAACGCGGGATGCGAATAGTCACCCTCATCACCGTATACTTATCAAGAATAGACATGCTAGTAGTGTCACAGCGAGCCTGGCAACTCAAAACACATGGATCTAAGTAGGTTGACTCTTGGGTAAGTAGAATGCCGAACATTCTGCGACTCATGACTTTTAGATAGGAGAATCTTTTGGAGAATGGATGCCAAAGTGCAAGGATCACCTCCTGAACGTATCATCTTAAGGATATCATTCGGGTATATTAAAAAGGGGTCCGTAATTTGAAACCAATGAGGTCTCGCTGTGTCTTGGTCCAACGTCACTGGTCTTGTGGCCGGTCGGCGATGAAGTAAAGACATAGCTGCATATCTACATGATCCTGGAATACTTTGAACTTTGGTACGTTTCAATTCCATGTTCTATGATGTTCTATATGTACTTGAGGTCCACGAAGTCGTGTCGCCCTCGACATCTAGAAACCGATGTCTTCTGTACCAAAATCTGTCGTGGCCCAGTCGTGGTAACAACGTCTTCTGTTTTGGTACTCCCTCTGAGACCTATCTGGGCAAGTTTCTTGCTACTTTTCGGCAAAAACAAGTTTAACGAGGTCATTGACTTGGAGGGGCTGAATTCTTTTGCTTCTTTTTGGCCAACCGACTCCCCAGTCGAGGGCACTGCAAGGTGCTTCTTTTCTCGCTCAAAGATGGTGATCGATGGACTGTGAAAACAAATGTGCTGGTGGAATTCAGTGCGAATGAGCCACCGGACCAAAAACAATTACAATATCATGAAATATCATGAAGATTCCACTTTGGCTGGATTTATCATCCAGTGTCTTCCAAGCAAACCCTCCTTGTGACCAGTGACCTTCTAAACAAAAGCCAGGGTGGGCTAGGAAGTTGTAGCAACATCCTAGGTGCAAATTGCCTCATGACATGGGCGTTTGGATGTGACTGAAGCCCACCATAGCCCACCCATTTGAGAGATTCCCAAATGCCAGGTGCAACACCTGAATGTTTCACACTAGAATCGGGTCAAACAAAGGTCAGCTGACATACTAAGTCTGGGATTCCAAGTGGTCCAACTGACATACGAAGTACCTGGGTCAATGGACACAATTTCGACTCTCATCATCCATGCTGAGACTATATCTTGCCAACCAACACGGACAGGACTGAAAGACAGCGTTGTTGCAACAACGACATGATCCGGCCAGCAAGCATATGCAAAACGAGTTGTTATACACTGTTCTATCCATTCCGCATTCTGCAACACAACAACATAGCCCTGGCAGGTTCAAGGTGATCCATGTCAAGCCACTTGGGGATCCATGCAGGCCCCATTGGGGGGTGCTGTGATCTGCTCGGATGCCACATTCGAAGTCTCCCTGCTTGAACAGGTGGTAGGCTGCACACAAGCGGCTCGCATGTGTTTGGCATGTCCTACATCAACGACATGAGCCTTGGTTGCATTCCGAGCTTCGGTTGAACATAGCCGAATTCAAAACGCTGTTGACTTGGGTTGTTCATGTGGGTTCACACATGGTCTTTTAGGCTTGAACATTGCCTATATCTTGGATTTGCTTGAGGAACCTTGGTTTCCATAGGCTCCCGAGACCGGTGGCATGGTATCACCCCAACCAAGCAACACATAGCATGGCAGCCAGAGTATGCGTTTATACAATGTTTATACTAAGTTGGTGCCTAAACGCATGCTTGGACCAGCTCACTCTCTTGGGCCGGCTACTCGCGATAGCGGCTATGGAATCGCCAAATAGAACCTGTTGCACTCCCTGACTGACCAAATCATGGAATTGGGATGGCAGGTCTCTTGGATTGTTTTCCTCTACAAACAGGTGGATGATCTTTTTCGAGTGGAACATGGCGATCCCTCCCTTTTGTACAGCGACAGCTCAGGAACACCTGGAAAGCCAGAACTGCATGCAACGAAATATCTTAAATTTCTGTGCAACTAGTGCCGCACAAAACAGAACCTTGTCTCACAACCGTTCCTGCTCCGTCGCATGAAACCGGACAAAGTGCACTGTGCAAAGCCTGCTCCGAACTCTGCGAGGTGTCCTGCTCGTCCATGGGTTTCGCTGTTGTGACGACGACTTCACTGGTGTGCCCGTCTCAATGTAAGCACGGCTTCAGTTCTGCAGCCCCTATGTTACCCAATAGTCGAGCGTACACAGTAATTCTTCGAGTAGGCACCTACAGTTGGCAGCTCTGGACTGCTCTCGGAGGGCAACGTTCGACAAAATGAATGTGGCATGAAAACCACGCTTGGCGTTCTTACCCCAAACTGCAAGTCAAACTGGTCTTCCTATGTCTTCCTTAGAGCCCCATGAAGTCCCACTCTGGCCTTGGGAGTCAGAGTGTGCCTCTCACATTTTCACATGTCCTTGCGACAGGCTCGCGGCCGGTCGTTGGATTCACGGCTTCAAGAGCGGCTGCACATGACAAAAGCATCTTTCTTCGGACTCATGTGGCGGTATTGGCGCACCTTAGGTCATCACGAAGACTTCTCAAAGGAGATGGTCAAAGTTGTGAACATCTGTAAGCACCAAAGAGGCGTGCCTGGAACTCCTACCACAACCTTCGAACCTGATGACTGCAAGCCCCACATCTGGAGGAAACCTAAGCCAGTCCCCTCAACTAAACATGGAAGCGGGACCCCTCACCACTCCATCCTTGCCACGGACAAAATGTAGCACGGCTCGAGGCTTTCTCGCATTTCCACTCAGCATGATCCAATTCAACCCCACATATATGTCCAAGAACGCCCCACGGTCAGCTCCCACAAATCCAACTAAATGATCGGAAAAAAAAAAACACCAGGGCGCTGTTCCAACGCCCTTGTATTCCAACGGCGCGTCACGACAAACACGTGAATGGAACACGCACCACCGCCGAAAACCAACTTCTCCCACCAGTGGCGCCATCTCCAGGATTTCTTCGCCCACATGGTGGTCGAAGTTGCCGTTGCCGATGGGAACCTCGTGCGCGACAGCGAGGTCGATCGACATCGACTGGATCGAGCCGTTTTTTTAAAACCAAGTACTGAAAGAATGGCGGCACCAGGAAAAACTGCCACTACATACATCGCGTCCCCATTCCAAGGCTGCAGTAGCACTCCAAAATGTATACAATTACAGTGGACTCGAGACACCCCATTTCATCTAGGAACCCCAAACAGGAATACCAACTACAATTGATTACAGTCTATGGGAGTCCAAGACCATGGAGTAGACCTATTTTACCATGGTTGGCCTGGTTTTGTGTAAAATCCTTCAGTCAAACGATGGTAATGTTGGGGTAATCCTCGAAAGGATCGATCTCGGAGATGACATGGGGGGTACCCGACCATGCACGACCACAGGGTGGACCTCCAAAAGGACCGAATTCGATTGCTGGCCTCATTATAAATCCGTATGAAGGAGCAAATCCATACGTTGAAAACACCTGGAATCAATACCAATCATAGAGATTGCAGGGAACCATCGCCACTTCCCAAACCCAAGTCATTTCTGGATCCAATGCTGGCTTGTAGTTCTGAGCAATCGTGACTGTGGACCTATCTCTCCCCAAACCCGTCGCCCGAATCTATGCCAACGGCCCAGTCACGAGGAAGGGCGAGGCGCCCTCCATGAGCAACCTGTGAGTTGTGAAGCGCTGTAGTCATGAGGTCCAGAACAGCGACGGCTCCCGAAAAGGTAGCAAGGGACGGGAGTGGTTCAAATTGCCTCCCTCATCCTTCCTAGTTGCATGATGTCTGGAAAAAAACATCATAACAAACTCTGATCACTATCACATGATGTGCCCGAGTTGGCTCCGCTCTCGTTATGCTTGTGTTCTTTTCGTCGTTTCGTCTCGCCGGGCAGCAGCTGCACCGTCCAGCGGTGCGCCGATCGACAGGCCACACTCAAGGCGGAGGAACCCTCTGCGCCGATGTGGTCCTCGGAGAAAGCAGCGAGGAGGATACGACCCCAACTGCTGGGTGAGACTGGGTGGCTATACGGCTATACTGGGTGAGACTTAGACTCCCTTGCTGAAAGAATGAGGCTTCTGCCATTCATTCGTCACAGTGGAATGCTGCTGGTTCGTGTTCGCAAGCTGGACAAAACATGGACCAAAACCCAGGAAGGGATGTGGAGGGGGTTTTCAGCCATGCCATACCCATCAGCATGTCATTCCTGCATCGTTTTTAACGAGCCGATGCTGGGACACTGTTTTAGACACACGCCAGTGCTGGATGTTGCAACCGAGCTCGCATCCGTACGGATCGTGTTCCAATCACGTGGGTCGGCCGCGGCAACGCTCGCCACGGCTGACGCGGGTCCGTGGGGTCAGTCGCCTTGAAACACCACCAAAAGCAATGAGCAAGCCTTGTTGACCCGTGTTGACAGGATTGAAATCGAATGGGTGAGAAACCATGAAGTTCTTTGAGCTGTTTCTCCAAACTTGAAGTCTTCTCAGATTTGTGGAGGGTTCGTGCACAATTGATGCACATGTTGCGCAGGTATATAGTTTGTCTTCAGCAGTGATCAAGAGCCGTCGCATCTTTGCCTTCAGGGGCTAGAGCAGCAACTACTTGTAATGCACGACTTGCAAGTGGCCCACTTGAAAGTGTCAGCTCCAGTGTGAAGCAACAAGCGCCAACTTTAGCGTTGCCTGTATTAAAAGCTAAGTTCTTATGCAAATTCATCAGCTCCTTTGATCAGCAGCCTTATGATTCTGAGCTGCAGAGAAATCAAAGCCTTTGACTCAACTTTTAGTTGCTGCATCTTTGTCAGCATCAAACTCTTGCACCATTGATTTGAGTCAGCGCTTGACATTGAATCCAGTCAAATCTGTCTGAGCTACGGTCAAAATTATGATGTGCGGCTATTGCATTGCTAAACTTCTGAGCCCCTTTCCCAATGTGTTACGTTGGAACCTTGTTGTAGATGTTACAGTATAGGATGTTATAGGTGTATCTGTATATATATATATATAATATACCTGTATAACTACCGGCCTGTATATATACCTACACATGTATTTGTGAGTCCCCTATCGTTTGCCAGGGCGTGGGGCGTTCCCAGTTCATGAACGCAACGCTCTGTAATTAATTGCAATCATCGCATATCATCGCAATGTTTGAAGGCACTTCCGAATCTGGCCATGGCAGCCATGGTTCGTTCAGAAGCGCTATGGGCCGAAACGAACAATGCAGCTGACCCATCCTGAGCTGTGACAAACAAGGCCGTTGCCGTTGACCCACTTTGACATGCAGCATCTTTGTCCGCTCCAGCTGTGAGTAGCAACCGCACAACCCCCAAATGGCCATTCAAAGGTGCGATGATCAATGCCGGCGACCCATCATCATATGCTAACGTCAACCCTGCAGGCACTGCAAAATATCAAAATTGCCATTCTGAGCTGCGACCATCAAGGCCGTTGACCCATCTTCACGTGCCGCATCCTTGTCGGCTCCAGCTTGGAGTAGCAACCGCACAACTTTCAAGTGGCCTGCCTCAGCTGCCATGATTAATGCTGTTGACATGTTTTGACGTGCTGCATCTTTGTCAGCTCCAGCTTCGAGCAACAAGCGCACAACCCCCGGATGGCCATTCAGAGCTGCGATGATCAATGCCGTTGACCCATCTTCACGTGCCGCATTCTTGTCGGCTCCAGCTTCGAGCAACAATCGCAAAACATCAAAACGGCCATTCAAAGCTGCGATTATCAATGCTGTTGACCCATCTTCACGGGCCGCATCTTTGTTGGCTCCAGCTTCGAGCAACAATTGCAAAATATCAAAATTGCCATTCAGAGCTGCGATGATCAATGCCGTTGACCCATCTTCACGGGCCGCATTCTTGTCGGCTCCAGCTTCGAGCAACAAGCGCACAACCCCCGAATGGCCGTTCAGAGCTGCGATGATCAATGCCGTTGACCCATCTTCACATGCCACCTCTTTGTCAGCTCCGCATTCGAGCAGCAATTCCAAAACATCGACGTGTTTTCTGTCAGCTGCGATGATCAAAGCACTTGACCCATCTGCAGATGTCGCATCTTTGTCACATTTCGCTTCCAGCAACAAGCGCACAAGTGCCCAGTGGTCTCTATCAGCCGCAATATGAATTGGCGCATTTGCGTCGCCATTGGCACCTCTCCCGTTTGGATCTGCCGGTTTTTGCAGCAACTTCTCAACTTCTGCCACATCATTCTGCTCACATGCTTGACGTAGTGCCTCCTCCATTCCCTCCTCAGGCGGGTCAAAGTTCTTTATGATCAAGTGCACACTTTTGTCAAACAGTGGTCTTACTGGGATGTCATCAGGCAACTCACCGAACCTATCGCAAAGTCTTTGCTGAAACCTTGAATATCCAACCCTCTCTGCAAGGAACCGCTTCAGGTCCCTGACAGTATGTCCACACTCCACCATGTCACGGAACTCATCCTCACTGATGGCAAAGGCTTCACCAGAAATACGAAGAATCTCCATACCTTTGAGCCATCGAACACCTCCCGTCAAACCACCGTCGATGCTTTTGCATGTGAGCGCCCCCCAAAAAAGATCCGGATTGCTGCATTTCAAAGCCGTTTGCGCCCTAGGTGCCGGTTGCAACACGTCTCCCCTCTTGCAACACATTCCTCCGGCAGTGTGTGAAGATAGGGAAAAACTCGTTGACATTAAGTTGACCACGAGAAATGAACTGTTTCTATAGATGACACATGAAAAGGCTGTGGGTCAACACCGTTCCGGAACAGGAAACCCTGGTTTTTCCCATAGAAAATGAACAGAACGGACTCAGGAGCTCAACCTGGCAGCGGTTTGAGGAGGTCAAATGAGGGCTCCGGGTGCCATGATTCGCCGAGTCTCAGGATTCGCCCGGGCATGCAAAAGCTCTCCTGGCATTCGGCGCGGGCGGCTTCGCGCGAAGCCTCCCCGAGCGCTGGATGCTGGCCCATTCGCATTCGGCGACCAACGATCAACGATCAACTGGGCGAAACAACACCAACTGACTTCACTCAGCCGGTTCAAACCATCTTGCAGCCTGATAGAATTAGTTCAGCCATCCCACTTTGGTCCTTCCCAAACCCACGCCGGGTCACCGACTCCGCCGTTCGCCGCTCACGGGTGCTTCGCTGGTTCGGTTCTCCCGAGGCACGGCACACGGAGACGGAGCCCCGATGGGCGGCCCAAATCAGCGGCGTCCAGCGATTCCTCCCGGGAGCGGAGCGGGAGGGCCGGTCCACGTGAAGCTTCATGCTGAGTGGCAGTCGGTGTTTTTTTCTCCGGTTCCCAAGACATAAAAAGGTCGAGGTATAAGGTATTATAGAGTGAACCACCAAGTCCTGGGGAAGGACTTTTTTTTGATAGTATTCGAGGAACCTTCATCACCAAGTGGTCAGGGTCTTGGCCAGTGATTTTGCCCATGGACTGGCGGGTGTGGACCAAATCGATACATCCGTCATCCGTCTCTCAGCGAGACCGAGAAGCCACAGGGTCGAACGAAACACACTGGCATCCATTTTGGGAATCAACTGCCTGCCATGTCGTGTCCAAATTTATTCAAATTGCTCCTGTTTCAAGAACACGTTTGTCTATAGATTATATTTTTGTTTGGGTCTATCCTACTTATTACCTGTAACAGTGGATGATAATGGTTAGTAAAGGCCTTGTTCAAGAATTGTTTACTGACTGTTACAGGTAATTGGACAAACCCCATATATTGTAGCCCATGGTTGCATGGCCGCATTGCACAACCACCGTTTTTGGGACACTCCACCTTCACATCCCGTGTGGCAACAAAAACACAGGCTGCCAAGCTTCACATCCAGCTCATCAGGGTTCGCCTTCCACTGGAAGATGTTCCGCAAGATCTTGGCGCCTGAAAGGCCCGGGTGAGGAGATTCTCAACATGCTTCCATACATGCTCGGTGCTAAAAAAACGCCTCATGTCAAGCCACTGAAAATCCTTTGCCATTGACCTTCAACAAATCTCGTGCCTGCTCACCAGTCAAAGAAAGACTAAACATCTACTTCCCAGTCTCGTCCGGCTGGGCATCTCAGAGTCCGGCGGTTGTTCTGGGTTTCAGATGTTCATGTTTTGCCGTACCGAGGGCTCTCGCCTTCTTGGTTCCATCCGCTCTGCTGCAGCGCCCACTTCACCGGCGCGGACGTGGGCGTCCCTCCGGCCGTCTCTCCGCCGGGCGCGCCGCGGGTCGCGGCCGCGCGACACGCGGCGGTGAGGGAGCGGTGCGGCAGGACGTGGGGGGCGCCCCTCCAAGTTCCGCTCACAGACCAAAGGAAAAGCACTTCCTCAGCTGGGCCGACGGAGGGAAGGAGGGACGAACAACACCTGGACCCGTCTGGGATGAGATTGAATGACCAAAGGCAAATCGAGCAAAGAGGCCCAAAAAGAAGAGACCCCTTTGGGGGCATCTGCCTGGCTGTGCCTGCAAAAACCTCGGGTGTACTTGTTTTTTTCGGTTTTCCCTAGCTTTCGTCGATGTTGAATGATGTTGAGATAGACTACAGAACCTGCAGTAGGGGTCCACATCCCAGTGTTTCAGTACGAAAACCGGTCCAATGAGTCCAATGAGTTTCAAAAAGATAAATAAGTTTTTGGATATGTTTGGATTTTGGGGAGCTGCCATTTCGATATTCCTCGAGAGGAAAAGTACCTGTCGATCACCCAAAAATATATCTGTCTCATCGACTGCATTGTCGACTGCACTGCGGCACTGCGTGGCCATGGTTTTTGGCATCAAACCAGGCAAAGTGGGTTGCTCAAGGTAGTCAACCTGAGGAACAAAAACACACACTGCCAAAAGGCTCATAGTTTTGTCTGGCTTAACGCCACAAGTTCCAAAACTGAAAGATTGGACTCCGATTGGACCAAACGATTCGTTCTCTCGACATTTCTCTTTACCAATGCAAGTCTACAGCGTTTACTTCGCACCTACACGAACCAGGGCGTGGAACCAGAACAATAGAGGAACATGATGCTCCGACATGATGCTCCAACATCTCTGGTTTCGTCATCTTGGTTTTTCCGGGTGAAAAGCCCAGCATCCAGCGCACTGAAGTGGCCAGGTCCAGTGGGATCTGGTGGGAAGCTCATTGGCCAAAGAATCCCTTGACGGATGTGCTCCTGGCAAAACAAACAGATCTTGAAAAACTGTTTCGGCGCATCCCTACGCCACTATGGAAAATCTGCCTACATTCACCGCCCCAAACCACTCCAACTGATATCAACTGATCGGGAAAATTGGCAAAATATAGTCCCAGAACAGGTCGTGTCTGGCATCGCGTCTCACGCGTCTCAAACCGCCGACACGTTGAAGGATTCATCGCGGTGAGCCGTCGCGGGAGCCGAAGCGGCTGAAGATCTTTATCCTCTGGTGCGAGTTAGTCCCGATCCAGAATTCTAGGATGGGGCAGCCTTTTAGGTGCAATGTTTCAGGATGTGTATATAGACCATATGGGAATGACTGTGTCAGTTGTTTTTTTGGGGGACACTCGTTTGAAGCTGGTTGTTGGTCAATGTGTCTGGCTTAATTGGGTTGTTTCCATCATTTTCTAACCACATGCAGTGATATACTTATAATAGATAAATCATTAATCTACATATCACCGTCACCATATATTAAACTATAGTGACTGCAATTCTAGGTGCCCAAGGTGCCCAGTCTCCCACTAGGCTCCTCCAGTTACCGGCTCCGTGGGGAGATTCCTTGGACCCTGGCCTGACTCTGAGGCTTTAGATGAAAAGAAACAGGGCTTCCCGTTCGGTTTGGTGGGCTTTCCAAAGTTCCAAGGCAAGCAAGCTTCTGTATAGAAACATGTTTTTGTGTTCTTTACATGTCACAATGTCTGACGAAGCACACCATGTCATCCGCTACATGCGTCACAAGCCTCACACTTGGACGGTCGTTCCCTGCCGGTGCGAAGTAAATCACCGAATTTGAAGTGGCACTTAAACAAGGAGTGTTGCTCTCGCTCAAATATCCCAAATATGTCAAACATCGCAAAGCTGGGCATAGCTTACAATACAAAACAGTATGTAGCCAAATCAGGCTCTATTGTCTTTGCGATGGTAGCTGTTAATTGCCTCCTCCTGAACACCAAATCAATCGCTTTGAAGATTGGCAGTGCAGCAGCACGTGCCTTAGGAGGTGGTAGAGTAGTCCATCCACTTATTGACTTAGTGAACAAACATCGCCCCCATCATCCAAATCTCCATCCAATTCTGTGCTCCAGAAAAAGAATATAGTGGCGGACATCCTTGTCCGTTGTCCGTTGAGATATGCTCTCCAGGATGCTACTGTCAAGGATGCTACTGTCACGAATGCCTGGACTCCCACCGTCCCCCATCATAATAAAGAGCCAAGAAAGAAACACCTTCTGCATTCTTCTGCACACGTGGGACATCTCAATGCAACTCTCCAAACAAGTGCTTCAAACATCTTCAAACAACCAAACAAACATGCTCTTCATGCTGGGCTGCTTCCTCCCCGCGGTCCTTGCAGCTGCCGCTGTTGGTGTTTTTGCTGTTTTGGAGCCCGAAAACCTCCTCCCTCCAAGGCCGTCGTCGGTTTCGTCGTCGTCGTCGTCCTTCACCACGTCGCTGTAGAGGCACCGCACGGAGCGACTGACCGCCGGCAGCGCCAGAAAGGCGTCGCGCACCGAAAGCTGCGCGAGGACCTCCTGCGGCTGAAGGGAGGACGGCAGGAAGGGAGGAGAGACCCGCACGATGTACTACCACGGTGGATGATATCCAACGCCCAGGGGTAGTATTAGTTCAGTGTGCTGGTGTAACGTACTATATAGTACTTGTTTTGAAAACTCCACAGCAACAGTGCAACAATATAGAGAATGGACAATCAACATCAAGCACATGTAAACCTAACGACATCGCACATGTAAAACCTATATAAAATGGGAGACTTTGGGAGACTTGACATGACCATTTGCCAACCAGGTTTACTATCTCCCAAGCAAATCAGTGGGCGGAATTCCTCTCCGGGTCCATGATGGTCCATGTAATTCTACTGCAAAACAGTATAAATTTGAGGGTTTCGTGGTCCAGGTGCTTGACACGAGTTGCCCAACAGTTAAAGCCACCCGTTACGCCCGAAAAAGAAGATTTGGAGGGTCTGCCACCTGTTGACCGTCTGCTGTGCTCATCTGCCCCCTTGGACCAGCTCCACTGCGGCTCCACGACCAGCTGCTGCAGCTCTGCCAAGCCGGATGGCCGCGGCTCCGCCTCCGCGTGGTCTGTGGCGGGATCTGCGTCGGGATCCATGGCGGGGTCGGAAGCCTTGGATCGGGGGCCAGTCGAGCTGCCGGGAGGAGGTTGAAAGCGAGAAGTGGCTGAATGGATGGGTGGATTATGATGGATTGGTGGCTATGTGGATGGATGTTGCTTTGCTTTTGTGGAACGCAACTGGACCTGGATATTATATACAGTACATATACTGAGACATGAAGGTCTATAGGCTCTCTACACTTGATCAGCTTGACCAACTCAACCTCCAACTTGCTTATGTCATATATGTCTGTTCTCCTTTCTTTCCCTGGGGTCCCACAAGGTTTCAATTCACACTTTGCTCCACCTCTTCACACATGGCTTTCCCCAACCCCTCACCTTTTCCATCCTTTTCCTGCATGGCCATGCAAGCAGTAACCTCATGGGCTGCCTGCTAGGCTCTTGTTGCGTGCTCCCTGACGCAGCGCTCGTCACCTCGCTGAGTCACCCGTTCAGAGCGCTTCGCCTCCATCCTCTGCAGGTGCCTGGGGGCAAGCGATCCGACGGAGGCGACGGAGGCGACCGATCCAACAGCGAAGCAACAGCGAACGCAGCGAACGCGGAAAACGCTGCAGGTCTTGCTTACAGCAAGACCTGAGAGCAGCAGGGGTTTTGTGGTCTTGTCGAGATGCTCTGAAAGGTCTTGGACTCCTACAGTAATTAGGTCCATGATGGTCCATGTGTTATTCCTCCAGCAAGGCAGGTTCATCTTCCAGGTCTCAAGGGGCCCAACCATCTGGCGACGGCGGTCGCCTATCCAGCGGCATCTTGATCATCACACCCAAACAGCGGAAGCGAAAATTCCGTGTCGCTCCCCTCAAAAGGCTCCGACTCCACCTCTACCCGTTCGACTCTTCAAACGAAAGGGGACACAGCTCCGAATCCGAGGCACAACCTGCAGACCATGTACGCGGCGACGAAGCTACCTCACAGCCGGGTCAGTTCCGCTGACAACGTGTCCAAAAGAGCGGATGAAATTGGGTGTTCCAAACAGCCTGGCTCCGGTCTGGCGAGACCCATCGCGTCAGTAAACGGAATGGTTCAGCGCACCACCCGCAAGGTTGCTGCCTCAAATGCTGGGTCTTTCAACGGACACTTCTCCAAACCCCTGATCAATCCACTGATCAATCCCATTCGGGGGAGCCTCTGAGTCAAATTGCCGAACAAGTGTCTCCATGCACCAGCCTCATGTCCCATCCTCCCCCGCAAAAAACGATGGAACCAGAGTCACATGTCAGAGGCAGTGCCAGCGCAGCCCCGTTCTGGAAGCGCCGCATGGGCCTGGGACAAACGCCTGCTTCGCGCATGTGGGGGCCGGTGTGCTGCCCGGTGCAAAGGCCGGTCAGGTCCACCAGGGAAAAACCACTGGGCCACTGGGTTTGTAGAGGAAAATGGCCTTCCACCTGAGAATTCCCAGACACGACGTGTCTGGGACTGCCATAGGACTGCCGATCAATTGACCCCCAACACCACCCCAATTGATCGGCACATATGGCATGGAGTGTCTGGGAATTCTCAGGTTCCATGTTAGGCGGTGAAGGATCACGCCACTCCGCGCACGCATCACGCTTTGCCAGTTGGGGCCGGCCGCGAACCCCAAAATAAGGCCGAAGCCCTAGAATTCCTTGAAAGAGAAAGAGGTCCAACTGCCACGCCGGTCTTTCTCTTAAATTTTGTTGGTCTTATAAGATGTTTGTTTTGGTCCTCTTTAAGGTTTCTGCTGCTGATTTGGACCTTGGTCCCGGCACCATGGCATTCCATCCGAGTCTCCGATCAAAGGCGGGCTTAGGCGGCTTAGGTGAGGGCATCAACAAAAGCTCAACCACCAACAAGGAACCTCACAAACATGCCAAAGATTGCCCAAGTCGTTCTGATTGAATTGCTTCCACCACTCCACCACCAACAGGACTTCCCTCCGCGTATGCCGATCCCAAATCATCCCGCCTGCAGGTCGCGTCGCGGTCTGAACTCACAGCTACGACTCCATGGGCGCGCTCCGCCGTGTGGGCGGATTTGGGTCAAACACCCTTTGGAGCAGGTCCTGTTGGATGGGTTCGGTGTCAAAAAAGTGGTATATGTGTTGGATGGGTTCTGTTGGTCTTTCATGGTCTTTCAGTATCTTCGAGTATCTTTCAGTCATTCTTCACTCAGGCTGCAGTTCTGAGATCTTATTGCAAGTGGGAGTGCGATCACAAGTGAAGGACTCAACCCTCAGGGGGGTTATCAGCTTATCCATGTTCCCATCAACAAGTTGGCCAAAGTTGTGTTCCAGTACTACCGGTCAGTATGCTTCTTGCCGCCCGGGCACTCTGAACACCCACCAGGCTGAGCCGAGTGCCAAACCGAAAACTGTGGCTCACCGGCTGGGGCCTACAAGGTACGGCGGCCAAAAACTACTTGCTGTTGCTTTTCTGTCCCGACGAGGACCACAGCAAGTGTATCAAAGCGGACTAGCGGATGTCGATGTGGGGGTCATGTTCCAAGTGTCATCGAGAAAAGAACATGCTTCGCCTCCCCTTCCGACGAAAGCGAACACCGAACCACTCCCAACTCAGTCCAAACGAAAGCCTCCTGGAGTTGCCTGGAACTGGAGCTACTTCTTCGGACCTATTATGCAGTATGCCTCATGAACCATTCGACTAGTCCCTCCAGCCGGCCACGGTTTAACAACTTTGTTGCTCTCCTCACTGAACTGTTTAATTGTTCATTGTCATATCAACAATATTCCAAAAGGTCCCTTTATGATCCTTGACGTGCCTCATTTGACCTCCATCGGTGCTTCAAATTTGGAAAGAGATGACGAAAGTAGATGCCGTTCTAGCCAAAAACTGGTCTTGTGGGGCACCATGTTCCTCTTTCAGCACTGCCTGTGGAAGATTCAGCCCACATCCATATGCAGCTGAGCTGCATCTCGCTCTCGCATCTCAGCCACTAGACGCCTGGGCTGGCTCCCCCTAACCCCCTCATGATCAAACAGCATAATCACAACTCCCAACATGATAGCATTAACATGATCTGGCCCAAACATGATCAAACGCGTTTATATGGATTTCCCCAACAGCTGCGTACATCTTTGCTCACCACAGAAGAATGCCATAAGAAAATTGTAAACACTTGACAACCCCCAAATTAACATACGCTGTAACATATAGTAAATATAATACTTAAGCCGATGGATGCATTTTGGGGACTACGTTGGGGCATGTAGGGGCCTCTATCTTGTCAACGAGTTGCTCTAAGTCCAGTGTCTTGTCTTCGGATGCCGACGCCTCGAGCGGGGAGCGAACCAACCGAAACGGCTCATGGCGCTGGGATACCAAGAACGAACCGAGCAAATCCAGGGAAAGGGTTGAACAATGAGGTTTTCTTGTGAAACGGATCGAGTGGTTTGCAACATGCTCATTTTTGTTTGGGGGAACTGCTGACAAATGGATTCCCATGACTGGCCGCCTACAAATGACCACGGTCGTGCACTTGAATGTTTCATGGACTCGGCTGCGTTTCTCTCACCAATCATGTAAAGACACCCGACTTCACAGGTCACCTGCCACTTCCATGTAAGTCAGTCTCTAAAAGCCTCCAAAGGGAGACCTGTTGCAGGGTTTCTGTATATACTGAGATGTACTGAGTACTGGGCAATGGTCTCAGTACATGACTCTGCAAGTGGAAAGCTGCCCCAGTACTTCTCAATGAGAACGCCTGGTGCTTCTTATTGCCTTCGGCGGATCCCTGCATGTAGTCCTCGTGTTTTGCTGAGTCGAACTCCTACAAGCCGTCACCATCTCGAAATCGAGCTCCGACCGTGCCAAGGGGTTTGGGATGGAAGCTGGGGGAGCCGGGAAGGAAATCCAGGAGACCAAGCAGGAGCCAGTCAGCATGGACTGTTCAACCCCGCCCTGTAAGAGGAAAAAAATCATCCGGAAAAGGACTCGTTTGCCATCTCTTACTGGGAAGCTGCTGGATTTTTGCATACCTTTGCAGCCACAGGTCAGCACGCTTTTCGTTCGCACCACGTGCAAGGAATTCAGTGCCGCCCGTGCCAGCTGGGCATTTGGATTCGTCTCCTCAACACTCTCGTCGGCCTGACAGGTGCAGGTAGACCCACGGACCGTGGCACCTGTGGTACATATAGCAGCATATCTCAACTGCAAATCGCCATTTGTTGCTAGGTTGCAGTATATATATACCAGATTATACAATATATGTTCATGTCAATTGATTTTGAAGGTGCACATCTTCTGTTCCTGTCCATGGCTCAACATGTGACATGAATCATTGCTCAGCTCAATGTTTCTCAGATTGTCTTTGATTGTCTTTGTCTTCTCAGCCATTTCTTCTTCCACAGCACTGGCCTGGACGGCCGCACGACGTACCTCCTCCAGCTGCCAGGCGTGAAAAAGGCGCCCTCCTTCTGCGGTCGACCAGCGCTCCCCTCTGGCCGCGACCAGCAGTGACGAAACATCGGAGCTCCTCGGAAACATGGGCATCTAGAGGGGTCAAAACACCTTGAAGGGAGGAAAGCATGCCTATACAAATCTACAGAGAAACACAATGAATGGAGGTGTCCTCATTTGTTTGCGTTGAGGCTCGGCTTTGGGGGGAAAGGGGGAGGCCGGTATTGCACCTAGTATGATCCTGCTGCTAAATAGTTGGGGCGCCCCATTGGAGGTAGAAGTTCTGGGCCAAGAAAACCACAACCGGTGGTATTTACAGTCGTTGTCGTTTTGGATGGTTTTGGCAGTTTGATGGTGAACTGGTGCTGCAGGGAGTCATTCAAGTGAAACCAATGTCAACCCATCCGCAAGTTTTCCGCATTTGTTGATTCTGTCTTCTAGACAGTCACACAATGATCTAACAACTCAACAATCTGGTAGAAGTAAGAAGCTGAACCTTTTTCAAGACGGTCCCAGTAAAGTGATGAAGGTACCTGCTAAGGAAACCTCATCCATTCTTTGCGCGGTTTGCAACTTCGGCCTTGGCATTTGGAGCTGTTGGCATTGGCCCTGATGTAGCAAAACCAGAGCACTGCGCCTGGGGCGAGATTTTGCACCTATATACACTGCCTTCTAGCATGAGGTGCCCCACATTGTGAGACAAACCCCCAGCATTATATACAGTATCAGTATCAGCAGTCAGCAGGACCTATACTATATAGAAGTATTTAACGTGAAATTACCAAAAATCTCCTAAGTCTCACCTGTGTAGGGAAGGGAAAAACTCCTCCAAAATACACACCAAGCCTAGTTGTACAAGGCTCTTCTTCTCTCAAAAACCTTAGCATGTGTTGGTGCATGGCACGAGTGACGACCGGTTTCTGGGCCACCAAATTCCCAACCCCTAATCGCACAAGGTATTGAGTAAGAAATCACTATCACTAAAACAAACAATATCCAACCATAAGCTGGGGTTCCTCCAATGCCTCGCATTCGAAAACCATCCATGTCTTTCCACGTCTTGTCCTTTCTCCCGGAGTGGAGCTCCGCGGGGCTGGACCGCCCCGCGGACGTCCGTCCGAAACCGAGCGTCCACTTCAAGGCCAGTGCGCAAGCTCGAAGCGTCGCGTGCCATGCAGCCTCTGGCATGGTCATTCGGATGACCTGGACTCAGCAAGCGACGACTGGAACGGCGGAGCCCGGATGACCTGGACTCAGCAGCCAACGCGGGAGGACGGTCACAAAAGAGAATGAGTCAGACATCAAACGCCTGAATCAAACAAGCGAGCCAACGGTGTGGGCAATGCAAACCAAACCACCAAAACAAGATTTAAAACAAGCATTCCAATCGTTCCAGCTTCTTTCTCTGTTTTTCTAGAATCAATCCCAAACACAGCTTTTGGCTCCACCTCAAGGGCGTCCAGGGCTACAGCCCACGCCAGGGTTTTGGCACAGGCGGACGCCACCTGGGAGCGGCCCATGCTGGGTGGGCCGCTTTCGGGCGCATTTGGTACCTGTGGAGTCCCGCTCCACACCCACCTCCGGGCCATCCGAATGGTTTCAGAAGTTTTTTCTTGAGCGACTGGAGCACGTTGGTTGCGTGAAAAGAGGCCTCTCTAGGTCCATCAGCTTCCACTTCCATTTGCCAGTCTAAAGGGTGTGGGTGATGCAGTGAGTTGAACAAGTGGCGCGTGGATGAGTTGTGGACAAACGTGGCCAAGCTGCCAGTGCCTGACTCTTCCAAGCTGCCAGTGTCAAAGGGGGGTTGAACAAACCACCCCCTCATCTCACATGTCTTGGTTTGAAAAGGACGACTCCTTGAGCCACCCTTTTTGGGACCGAGGTAGGACTACTCACCCAGCAGGCGCTCCGAGGTCAGCACTGATATGGCCCAGCCAGCACTCCCTACTACGTAGGGCTTCAAAGAGTCCTTTTCAGGCCTGGGCCTAGTCGTGGGGTGGTTTGGACCTTGATCCTGGACATGAATACGGTATACTGCAAGCATCTATAAGCACCTCATGCAGCCACCAATGTAGACGAACGTGGCCGCTGTACACAAAACTCCCAGTAACCAACCCTTTCCCTTTCCTCGCTCCATCGCTGACACCAAGGCGCTGCGGCCCAAGCATCAGCTTCACCCCGGTGCTCCGGAAGATGTTGGGAGAGGCTGAGGAGATGCAGCAGACTGGACCAGGGGAGCCCCACCTGCGCCCACAAGCTGGCGACCCACCGCTGGCGACGCGTCACCACCATCCCGGATGATCTGATGATCCTAGCTGCCCATGTCCGGTTGACTTCTTCCCAATGTGTGGGAACCAATGTCAGAGCCAGGGCCAGGGGCATCCCATCCTTTTTGGGCCCTTGAGACATCCCCCAGCTCGATCCAGTTGCAACCTTATTTGGGGGGGATCGGATCGATGTTGATCCATGCAGGACTACAAAGGATGATCGAACCTCCATGAATCCCCGAGCGACGGAAGTCCCGCGCCGAGCCCGTGCGGCAACAGGGAACAAGAAGTCACATTTGAGATAAATGGTAGATGATGTGTCATGCTCACTTTGGAAATGATCCCGCTCCCCTGCAAAAGTAAAACAAATAATTAGGTGTTGACCACCTGTAAAATTCGAGAAACAGCGTTTGGGCTTCGTTCACTTGCTGAAGTAAGACTGGTGCGGTCGGAAGGCCACGGACGGACCAAAGATCCGTCCTTCTGAACCGCCGGCCTCACAGGCACTCAAGAGGCTGTTGTAGGTCACCTTGCCAGTGATGCAAACAGGGAATCTGATAGGGATGCAAAGTGAAATCTATAATATACAAGATCTACCTACGTCCTACATCTACCTACTTCCTATATCTGCAGAAGTGACATGTTTCATCACGTTTCTATCTTCCTTGAAGATGTACCCCTCTCCTCTCAACTGAGCATCACTTTTTTTGCAAAACAAATTCCCCAAACAAAACACTCCGACATTACATTGAATTTTGCTTCGAGCCATCCCCGAACCGCGTGTCTTCCTTAAGTCCTCCGCCCCTACTACAATGGGTGTGATAAGCAAACACGCCTCTGAGTCTGAACAAACGCCTTGAAAAATCAGTTGCCATACATGGGACATGCTGGTTCTAACTGCAAGATTTGATGGCTGGGGGGGAATCCTGGGAATTTAATCGTAGATTTTTGGGAATTGCTGCGTCCTCTGAAGACATCGTCTCTTGGTGGCCGTGAAGGGCACAACCTGGCGAAAACAACACCTTCCATGACTTGCGATGGTTGGATCGTGTTGGATATGGATTTGAGTATGACCTCAACAAATACTAGGACCCACTGTCGGGGTGGTTAATGGACACCCTTTAACCTCCAAGGGGCTATCAATAAACACCCCTGGTCCGGGTGTCCTGGTGGGGTCACTGCACCTGATCCATTTCCCCTCTCGAGTCCGGGAACACCACAACGAACGCCGCATGGCACCGACCGACTTCCGATCGGGTGGGTCTCCGATCGGGTCGGCGATCACCTGTCTGGGACTGGCATAGGACTGCCGAGAAACGGCCAGGCGTGGTGCCAGGGGGGTCTGTCTGGGGCGGCAGTCCTATGGCAGTCCCGTCATGTCTGGGATCTCTGAGCCTGCTGAATCTCCAAGCCTCGGAAGAAACTGGTTGACCCATGTTGACCCCTCTGAAGATCTCCGAGGCTCTTGAAGAAAACTGGGCCACCAGGCACCGGACATGACCCGCCACACACGCAGACACGCTGGTGCCGTGACCCGCCCGCGCGATCGCGAGCGATGGTGTGCCAGTGTCCTCGCGGTCTGAGTCGCTCGAGTGGGGGACACGTGCTCTTCTTGGAGGTCTTGAAAGAGCTGCAAGGCCTTCTGCCACTGATGCCCTCAGCGAACACGAAAGATCGACGAGAAGCGACTGGACTTGGACGTGTGAGCCTAGGCGCAGCATCAGCGAGCTGATGCTGGACTGAGAGGGCACGTGTTCACATGTAACATGTCACTGCGACAACGTGGAGCACTTAATGAATGCATGGTGCCTCACAGCGGTGTCTTGCTCAAAAGGTGGCGTGCATTTCATGCCTGGATCTTCATTCCCATAAACCGATTGAGCTCCACACGCCACAAAACATCTTCAATTTGACCTTCCACTTTGGGTACCCCGCTGAAGGCTAATAACAATTAATAACATGGACCCTGAAAACCCAGTCTTTCCGGGTGCCATTCTCACGCTCCATCTTTCTTTTTGTTTTTCCGAAAATGCGCCTGCGCCCCTTGATGTCAGGGAATTCATGTGTCAAACAATTTTCTGTTTTGAGAACACATTACGGCTCAGTACGAGGTTTTACGCAGAATGTTTCTTCTTGGCGCATCTCCCTTTTCTGTCTCTGAACGCCTATGAACGCCTTCCAAACTGTTTCGAACAGGTCTCGAACCCTTTTTGAACCGGTATCTGATGGTATCTGGTTCGCACGGGTACGGGTGTTTGTTTCTTCTGCGGGTTGGTACGGGTTCGAAGGCAAATGCAAATTCTTGGAGCATTGAAAGAATTCCTTCTCCGGATATCGAACAAGTCTCATGTGCGCCAAGATTTCCGGCACATGTGACATCCACAGGTACTGTAAGTATACCAAAAGAGCCGAACAATCCCCATTCTCCCCCAACTGAAGACTTCAAACCCGGCCAAAGTCCCACAGTCACATCAAGTCCGGCTGCCTTTGTCACATGCCGCAATGGCTGCGTTGAAGCTGATGATGCTGGGCACCAGCCGCGCTTGACGTGAAAAGAACAACAAGTGGAGGGCCAGCGGCCAGTGGTGGCCACTGCAAGCTGTGATGACTGAGTTGTATGAGATGATGTCCTTGGACAGCTGTCCCAGTGGATCACGGTTGTGGTATGGTGACCAGTTTCAATAGTTCAAACTCCGGGCTGATGTCTTTCTTTTGATTTTTCAGTGTTTGGGGAACTTAGTTGTGGTTTGGTTGTCATAATGTAGCAGGAGTATCTGATTCGCTGCTATTTACAGCAAGTTGGGTGTCCTTGAAGAGGAAATGCAATGCTATAAGAGAAACAACTGTCGTAGCAAGCAAAATGCTTTGGAAGAAGTACTGTAGTAGTGCAGATTTCATCCTGGTTGCCGGTGCAGTGCAACGTCGACACTTAGACAACTCAGTTTTCGCGGCAGGCGCCGTGCCTCCCCCAAAGCGAACAAAAAGAATACCAAAAGCAACCTCCCCACAAAAAAAGGCTGGCAGCTGGCAGCCTTAAGAAGTTCGGACATGCTTGCTGTTTTCGATGCCAGCCTAGCTCCAGCAAAGGAACCAATACGAGCGATGTAGTGCAAATTTAATGTATCTCTATAGCTCAGTATCAATATATATATATAACAATATAGTATAGGTTGGTGGTGCAGTGCAGCGTGGTCCACCCTGCCCTGCTTCCTTCCTTCCTTCCTTCCTTCCGTCCCTCCTTCCTTCCTTCCCTCCCTCCCTCCTTCTGTGCACTTAATTGAGAAGAACAACATGTTTAAAGCGGCAAACGGAAAACAATTCTCTAACAAATACGCGCTCCTAAAACGTGGAAGGAGAATACGGGTTGCTTAGTTGCCTGTAGTTAATTGGCAAATGGGATGCCGCGGGTTGCTCCGGTGGTGAGATAAAGGCTTTGACCTTGTCAAAGCACAATGAAGTGTACTGTGCAAGGAGAACGCCAATGGCCCCTTTGCAAAAATGACTCTATAATTATCCTCTACAGTATCAATTCCACACACACAAGCTTTACGTAACTTCAGAGTAGATTGAACAAAGCTTTACATAACTTCAAATTACTTTAAGAAAAGGATCAACACAAATCAGCCTTGGATCGTCACTGACAAGCTCGTTTTTCACCTACTGTCCCTTGGTGCCATGGAAGTAGCACTAACGCCTCCAACAACCAAAAGCTTTTCCAAATCAACCAATTCCGCACTGGAGGTTGCCCTTCTGGCTGAGCTGCTGGTTGCAGGTTCGTCAGAAGGCTCTCCGACAGCAAGTGCAAGCTCAACTGCCAGCCCCGAGTGCGAGCGCATGCGCTCAAGGTGGTGTTCAAGGAGACCAGGTCCTTAGGGGATCGCTGCTGCCGGCCGCCGCTGCCGCGCCGGGCCTACGCATGCAGAAGGGGCCTAAGCATGGGTCAGCAACAAAAACAAGTTGCAAGTTACAACCAGCTTCTTCAAAGTGACCTTTTCCAGGCCTGTTTGTGACCTCAAACAAGGGGATCGAAGGTCACTTTGAAGAACCAGGAACTGCCAAGGTTGGCTTCAACGAGCTTTTGAGGAAGAGGGACTTACAAAGCCTGCCCAGCCCTAGAGAGTGGAAGTATACCTTCGGAGATTGCACCTGGCAGGAAGCTTGCTACAAACAGCTATGGATGGGTGATGGTAGGATGACATCTTCCAGCACCTACCTGGTGACGAACCCTTCCATGACCAACCAAAAACACCTTGGACGCACCCTCGAATCACCGTGACCGCCCCAGCTTCGCATCACCCACCGTGACTGACCGTGCGCTCCGGCGAGCGGACCGGGGGGGCACGTGGGGCCGAGCCTTCCCACAGCACCACCGACCCGTCCCACCGTGCCGGGTGCTCCCTTTGGCTCCAGGTCGGTCGGAGCGTCGGCTTGAAGGGCGAAGCTGGAAGTGGTGGCCAGCAAGTGCAAGCACGAAGGCCTCGACCCCATTGGGGTGGCGGGAACCCCGCGACGACGTGACGACGAAGGCCTTGACCGGCGATGGGGTTCAGGCCGCTGAAAGCATCCAGAAGTGTGACGACCAAGGCCCCTTTGGATGAAGGAAAACTAGTTCCCATGTAAGTGACTCGGAGCTTCAGTAGCGTTTTTAGTCTTTTGTCCGGTTGATGACGACCAACAACTCCAAGACGGTCAAGTCTATTGGCACCCGACGGCCGCAAACCAGATCAACGTGGCACGGAAGCGTTCCGGTGGTCAGGTGGCACAGGGCCGTAGAGGGCCGACTCTCAGAGGACAACGGACGCGTCGTCGAGTTGAGGGTGGAAGTGACGCCAACAGCATGAAGTCGAGTGGAAGAACCAACAGCATTGGCCGTTTGACAGTCCAAGTCCCCCCTACTGGTGCAAAAATGTCCTGACCGCTTCTATAGAAACAAGGTAGCTCCTGGCATTACTACTAGTAGCAAGCAGCTACTAGGTGGAGGCCATCGCTATTAGGTTGGAACCCATCGCTACTAGTAACAAGAAGCTATTAGTAGCAATGTACCTAGGCTAGCGTTTGTCAATCCGAGAGGCCAAGCGAAGGACTTCTCGCACACGGCCATCAGTGCATTCCACCCCACCAGGTCAATGTGGACATCGCCTGCATCATTCCAGTTCCATGTGCAAACAGTTGAACGTTTTTCCATTGAATTGAAACCAATAAATCCAATAAGTGAACACGTTTTGCTGAGTCAATGGATTCAATATCTGCATATATTATATGTTAGCCGTTAGCCGTGAGCCTAACTCTTGCCACTGTTGCACCACAAACATTGACATGCATATAAATGTCTGATGTTCTTTCACATGTCCAACGCATGTCGGCTGACAAACGGTCAGTGTACACTTCTCTGGCTAATATGGTCACTACTAAGGTCACTATATATAGCACTATTCCCGCATTGGTTTGAACATGTTTCATGTTCTTACTTAAGCACAACCAATGATTCTTGGCTGCTATTGAAAATCCAAGGCTTAGGACAAGCACTGGATGGCCAGTGAACTGCAAAGCAAACAAAACACTTCGTTCTCCACCTGCACCTCGTTGATCTCACCCCATGTTTGACCTCATCCACCTCACCCACCCACACTGTCCAAGGAGCTCGCTTTCAAAATCTCAAGGGCTTCTCTCCAAAGCTTCCCGTGCGAGCACAGCTTCATGAGGATGCTGAAGGTAAAGTGGTCCATCGACAAGTCCGCCCAATCAGAGCTGGTAGAGCTCAAGCCGCTCTTGTTGCCTGCAGTCCTTCGGTGGATGGAAAGCAAGCGCCTGTCATAAGGTAAGGCCAGGTATGGCCAGGTGACAAAGCACGACATAAACAAACATACCAAAAAGCCACCGGTCACAACGCTCACCCAGAACCCGTGAGTCTTCAGAGTCTGGGGATGTGGCTGTTGGCCTGGGGTCGAAACGAGTGGACATCCTGAAGCCAATTCAAACGGGTAACGGGCGGTGTCAAAGGGGTAATTCCTATATATGGTAACATCACATCCCCCCCGCGTCACCCAAACAGGTGTGGGTTCGGAAGCCTCCCGGTGTCAACCCAAGCAACCCTCAGCGCCCTTAGCATTTCAGAGGCTCTGAAGCTGCGAGAAGAAGTGCAAGCCGTATTCCCACCGGTTGCCCTTCTCACACGCGCTCAGCGTGGAGTTGAAGCTGACCATATCCTGAGTGGAGATCGGATGAGATCGGATGAGACTGCCTCTGCCCATATGTAGTCGTTCCCCTCGAAATTTACAAAGATTGCGGTGGGACAAATGCGGCTCACTGGGTCGAGCCATGTTGGAAGGGCCGGAAATGCGGACCCTAGAGCCTTTCGTGCGTCTAGCCGCGTCTGTCAAAGAACAAGCACAGCAAGGCTCAGTAAGTTGCGGAAGAACACCTCTGGAACATCTTGTAAAAAGCCGGTCTAGATCTACAGTGCTTATTACCACCTGTTTGTAGAGGAAAATGGTCATTGGGGCCATGTTTCACCTCCATCATGATTTCACGGACCGGACCGAGTGTATTTGGGGGCACGGCATACGTTGCCAAACCACCCCCGGCATCCCCCGGCCATTTCGCCGGCATCTTTTTCAGTGTCTGAAGCTCTCGTAAGACCTCTAGGAAAGGAGGGGAACACCATCTTTGATGGGGAACAGCGATCCAAGACCATACGAGTACCCAACGCTCAAGCCAAACGGCCATTTCTTCATGGCGGGCACACATACTGAGTTCCTGTGCCAGCCTAGAATGCAATTCCCAATAAGGTTAGCCAGGTGTCAGGTGTGGTCTGATCCCTCTGCATGTGGTGAATGAGATTGAGGGCGCGTTGCCACTGGGCCTTCTTGACAAAGGCTCGCAACAAGCTGTTGCCTTGGTCATCCGCTGCAGAAGCGAGAGCTTTGGCCTTGATGGCAATGGTACTGGAATCTTTGCATATATAGTTGCTATTAGTTGCTATAAGGAAAGCACGTTTTGTTGTTCCATACAGCAAATTTATTGTGGGACCATGCAGGCACCTTGGACAACATGGCCAAACCAAACGCCAAGTGGCAAATCGTGACATCGCATGCAACATCTTGAAACTAAATCTGTCTGACTCTCTATAAACATCTTAGTGCTGAAGAGTATCAAGATCCAACGCACAACAGAAATCCCTTGCCCGCGCTCAGATCGCGGCAGGACAAGACAGCCCGATTCTTCGCCATCGCTGATCTTAAACAGCAGGATGTGGCCAGCCAAACAACTGTGCACGATTGACCCCGAAAGGGCTTTCTCCATGAACAGCTTGCGATGTTTCTCCAAGCCTCTAAATATACTATATATATAATATCCAATATGTATTTTCTCCCAAATTCATCAACAAATTTTTGCTTCGATAATGTTTTGGTCAGCAGTGCTCATGATCTTTGTCCCCAAGGACCGCCACGACTGGCTTCGAAGCGTATCCAGTGGATCCCAGTGACCATTATATAAGGAACCAGGGTTTTGTTCGGTCTATGGTTTTAGTCTTTGGAACCACTGGTCACTAGCTAGAGTGGTCACTGGATGCCCTGGGTGTATATACATTGGCTTTTCCGTGGCTGATTGCTGCCCATGCTCTATCTTCAGTTGGCTCCAAAAAGGCCCCAGTCAGACTCTGCGCAACATCCATCGCCAATCACCGTCCGACTCCAAACGATCTTCCAGAGCTTTTGGAGCCGACTCAGCCGACTCTGCAACGCGTTCGTGGCCACGTGGCCACGAATGCCCGGCCAACGAGTTCCGCCGTGGGGTGGGAAGCACCTGGTAGCTTTGTAGCCCACATGAGAAAAAAGGCCCCATCCTGGCCGGCTCCAGCTTATTTCAGCTTCATTCAAGTAAGTGTAGAAACCGCACAAGGTTCAAGTGGCCTTCCTCAGCTGCGATGATCAATGCCGCTGGCCCAGCTGCAAATCCACATCATTGTTACATCCAGCTTCTAGCAAGATAAATTGGTGCATTGGGGCAGCGCCGTTTGCACCTCTCCGTTCAGATCATCTCGTCTTTGCAGCTTCCTGTCCCTCATCAGGCGAGCAAATAAGTTCTTGATCATCAACGTATATCGAAGATTATGGAAGCGTGGCCTTATAGTCTTACAGGGATGTCGTCAGGCAGCTGCCGGACCGATCACAATGGCTGTGCCGAAGCCGGCAAGGAAATTACAACCCGCTCAGAGGGCAGGGAATCCCTTCACATCCGGACTCACGCTAGAGAACCCACACTCCGCCATGAGATAGATTTCATCCTAGTGGATTTTGAAGATTTGAAGGCTTCATCTGAACTCCGACACTAATTACAAAGAGCCCTTGAGCCTCAGAAGCCATGTCCAATCGGGACCTTTATCAAAATTTGAAGCATTTGCCAGTCGCGAATGCGAGAAATCAAATGCAACTCTTGAATAAAAAGATTGCGGGGAGAGACGGCAAAAGATTGCATTTGATATCACAGTTCCTGATATAGCAACCACCTGAAGAAGATTACCTGGAAGACAATTACATTAGTCATTAGTTATTAGGCAGTTCTGCCGCAAGTAAATTTTGCGTAGGAGGCGGCGTCAATATGACTTAAACACCCTGCATTCACCAATCTACTAGGCAACCTGTCGTCCGCCCAAGATTTAGCAAAATACATGGTACACTCCCTGAAATGATAAGTGAAGTGGAGTTCACCACCTGTTTGTAGAAGAAACTGGTCACCCCAGGGGCTTGATTCTTGATAGAAGAAACAACAATTGCAAAAGAAACCGCCTGTTGACGGAAACGTTTGCAAACCAGGTTGTAACGCCAAAATCAACACCCCCCTATCCAGCCTCCTCTGCCTCCTGCCACTCCCCACGGGCGGAAAGCCGGTGCAGGTTGTGACGTGGGAAAACCTACGGGAAAAACCACTGGTGGAAGAAATCCTACCCCACCAGAAGCAAACCCAAACACTGCAAACAATTGCGATCCTTTTTCATGTTTGTTTCGTTTTGGGTGAACAACTTCTCCGTTCAACGTTGTGAAGCTTTCAACATCTACGCAAGGGGGGTCAATGCAAAGACAAGGGCATGCCTGTTCCCCAAAGCAAGTGAACAATCACACAGGGTTACCCCTGTGAATGGATGAGATCTACTGTCATTGGGCTGGATGAGCCTATCACCGGATGTAAAGGGAACATGATCAACTCCACTAAACCACGGAGTTTCCGAATACGTTTTCGGGCAAGTTCGAGAATATGTTTCACCAATGGAAGCTATATCCAAAACTTATAGTTCCAGTCCCATGGCCAGGAGTTCCGACGGTGGCTTATAACAGCACACATCAGGTTGCGGCTGAGTGTGCAAGCGGCACGTCAATCACGTCCCTTGGCCGATGAAGACATCACGTCAATCACGTCGCTCATGGGTCATGTTTCACTGAAGAAACGTCCCCCCAACAAACGCAACTCACGTAGTCAATCAGCTATACACATGGATTTTGTAGAGTCCTAGTCGGTCAATCAATCACTCATCACCCTCATCAACCCAATACCCTTCCTCAAAGTAGTGACTAACTGTCTTCTTCGGGGGAATGTGCCTTCAGGGAGGTAAAACCCAAGGTCTTGAGCAAGCTTTCAATGGGCCTGTTACAAACAAAACACATCTGTGCCGTGCCCAGGCCAAAAACAACTCAGATTCTACCCTGTTTGGATGCATGTCTTATATTATGCTTGCCAAAGCAAAAAATGGAGACTCATTTCGCATTCCACTTTCAGGAAATCCTCTTGTTTGGATCAGGCTTTTCGCTTGAGGATCGCCTTTCCCGGTTTTCCTTCCAATGGCCCCACCGCATCCGTTGGGGAGAGCGAGCGCAGCTCGCGCCTCGAGTTCCTCGCCTGGCAGGGCTTCCTGTGGATGAATCGGATGAGCGAGGAAGACGACGTTTGGAGCCGATCGGATCCGTTTTGGATGAAAAAATCCCCCAATCACTGGCTCGTGGCAGGGGTGATTGATTGTGAAAACAACTGTTTACAATATCAATGTCCTGGTCTCAAACATCATTACACAATCAAAACCCCTAACCAACCAAAAACATCCAAAAACTACAGAATCAATACACTGAATGTCGAGAAACACATCAAAACTTACTACGAAATCTAGAGACCCAGGGCAGCCCCGAACACATTTCCGAGAAGAAACCGGTTTACAAAATTGCATCCTTGACATGCACAACAACATGCTTTGTACAGAATCATTTTCCCAACATACCCTTGGTCTTCACTTGATGTGTCTTTGTTAGGTCCAAAGATGTCCAAAGTGATTTTGTAAAGTGGTCTCTTTGTCAGCGCCAGATAGAATCTCTTCAGAATCATCCCCCCCTACTTGCAAAAGCCAGATTGAAAAGCCATCTAAACCATCTCTGATTCTACAGAACCAATTACCTCACCTACCCCTCCAAACTCAGATCAATTCTTTACACAATTGCATCCTTGGCCTGCATACCCTAAACAAGTCAGATGTTAGCTGTACAAAACTTAGGCTAACATCTGCAGCACCCAAACCCCCATGATTTTGTAGAGGTTATTTTCAGGGGGATAACCAAAAACGTCTTCCTTCGTTTCCCGGGTGCGAAGGGACGGTACCACCACAGAATCGGGGTAGCAAGCAGGGTTCTTCTCGGGTCCCAACTAGGTGCGTAAGTCAGATGGGTCCCAATGAAGCCGGCCAAATGGATGGGTTGTTCCATGCAAGTGACACTCATTATGGCAGATCATGATGCCATGTGTCTGTCATTATGTTCGAGAAACACCAGGAAAAAACCATGGGAAACACCATCCGTGGTCCGGTTCCCGTTCCACTCGTTAGGAACAAAGGAACAAACCACATGGTCCGAAAACTTACTTGGGTCCCCCAGTGTCCCCCAGATCCTGAAAATGGGCAGTGAAGTGCTGGTGGCTGATCCTGCGGAACTCGAACAGCAGCCTTTTGATGCAGTCTCCAGCCACACGAACTCGCTCCGGAGTGTGACGCAAAATAAGCAAGAAGGCATGCAGGGCCCCAATGCCGAAGCTTTAACTGAAACTCTTGAGAAAGAGTTGGCATGAGTTGGCCTGTATATATATATATATTACTATATTATTACTATTATTACATGCATGTTTTACCACAGCTTGATCTCCCCGATGTGCCCCCCCAACGGCTCCCCGATACGCTCATAGAACATCTGTCACCCCCACCTCATGGTCCTTGGCCCCCTCCAAACAAGCTAGATTTGCTCCAGATTCGTTCCAGTGAACTCCTTGTCCTCTGCATATGGCAACACGGAAGGGAACATCCTCTCCCCCTACTCTGGCAGCTCCTATGCTTTTGGAACATGGCGTCATACCTTGAGTGATACCCCACAGTGAGCTCTTACCCTGTCCCGTCACATCAAACACCTACAAGCAAACTCACAGTGCTGGCCTCCAAGGCCCCCTTGTGTAAGCTTACCCCCATGCAGAACTTCCTCAAATTTCAATGGCTGGGCGTGGCAAAGCACCATCTAAACCACCAGGCTTGGGAAGAATATAGAATCAGCAAGTTTGTCATTGTTCAATACCAATCAACAAGCACCAAGGCGCCAATCAACAAGCACCATCCAACCACCAGGCTTGCTGCTTGTCATTGTTGATTGGTATTTTCACGTTGCATCAGCAAGCTGGAAGGACGCCCCAGGAATGCACCGAACCAACATGTCCATGGGCAGCCCATGGTCACAAACCCAATAACCTGATCCCGGCTGTAAACCCACCACCGGTGCTTCTAGAACACATCCACAATGTATCCATCAGGAAGCTGAAACCCATGAATTCGGGGTCAACCCTTGTGAACCATGTGCTTTAAAGCCACGCGGAAATGGAGCATATTGACATGTCCAGGGTACGAAAAAAGTCGGCATCCACTGGTTCCGATGTGACATGAATTTGAAGCATAGATCCTAAATTGTAAACAAGCGGATTGATTAGCACATGTTAGTAGCAGTAGCATAGTCCTATGTACCTCTATATATAAGCTTAATTGATCTTGGCATCAAATAAATTCTCAGGCTCAGGGCCCAAATGGTGGTGCCCAACAGCCACGGATTCTCCAGCTGTTGGCGAAGCAGCGGTGCAGGTTGGCAGCCAACGCAAAACGGTTTTCAATTGGAGTCCCGTATTTGGACATGTTGGGCTTGCTTTGGTCGCACGAATCAGTGACAGGTAAGTTGGAACACTCGAACACCTAAGAATGCATTGATGCGCGTTCAGCCGCACATTGGATGTTCATGGATGTTCCATGCAAGTTTATTGCATCCTTTTGCCAATTGCCGTCAATGTGTTGAGCCAAACTAAGTCGGAGTACTTGTTTTCAGAGGATCTCTCATGACTACGGTGGGGTTACGATGGAACGCACTCTCCAAAGTCGGAGCTCCCTGGAGTACAAGCTGCTGCAGGGTGACGAACATAGTGCTGTCCCACGGTGAAGAAGAGGGAGTCTCCCAAAGTCTGCACAACCCAGCCCGTACAAGCAGCAACGCTAAACTATCGCTAAAATCTTAACATATGAAGGCAGTTGGACACAGTAACGCAGCAGCAACACTACACTCAAATGATCTTGGCTGCCCTACACCTGCAGTCAAAGCGCCCAAAAATGGACCGATCTTTTTCAAGTAGGCCAGCCTACTTCAGCCCGGTCCAAGCTTGATGTCCAACGGTTCCTCGGTCCCATCGCCGTCAGGTCGGGCCCCGATGGATGTACTAGTTACTGACTACACATGGAACCTGAAGATGGTTCCTCTTACAAGACTATTTTAATCTACAAGCCAGTGGTTATCCGGTTCCATGTTAGTTTTCTGAAGTGTACCAATAGCAAAGAGAACCTAGAAGCGATGGCCTCCAACCTAGAAGCAATTGCCTCCAACCTAAGAGCGACGGCCTCCAACCTAGAAGCAATGGCCTCCAACCGAATAGCGATGGCCTCCAACATCCTCCAACCAAATAGTGATGGCCTCCAACCTAATGTTACTTGGGTCTTGGGTTTTACAAACAGTCATCGTCTATATAGTCAATGATGAAGGTGATGATCAATCGCTCACCAAGTGTTAGCATCTTCTTTTCCCCGTTGAGATGGCCGGGGTGGCCTCACCCTCCCAAACAAAACTAACAAGTGGGCTCCCTTCTTTGGACATGCTTCAGCCAGCACCATCCATGCTTCTTCGATCATTTGTGCAGTTGTATTTTTTGCATCGAATCTCTCAAGCAACCTCCATACTTCGTCGACTCGTGTCATGATACCCAGTACGGCTAAGCATCCCCCCACGCTGGAATTGTTGATCACTTAAAATACCTGACAACTCTGACAACCCCTAAGTTGTTCCACTAGTTAATGCAAATATAGGGTATATCCTGGCATATCCCACTACCACTACCAGTGCAGGATGATGGCGTGTATTTGACCTTTCTATACCATCTATACCTTGCACTATACCTTGCTCAGAAATACTCATCAATACATATCAATACTGACCATCATATATTACCCAACCTTGCCGGTGTGTCCTGGCACACCCCTTCAAACATAGAGGAAAAAGGACATATCCCGTCGATACTCCCGCCGATCTCTGTGCACGACCGGGCCACAAACCTAACCTTCATCCGGGCTCGAGCCGCTGGGAAAGCATAAGAAGTCTGAAACAAGCAGCACAGTTGAACAATTCTGCCAAACAGTCTCGCAGGCACAAAGAAAAAGAAACAACACATAATCAAACACACCATCAACCCTTTCAAGATCTTCATCTTTTCAGAGCATCTTCCAAAATTCCATACCACTGGAAGTACTGTACTCGTGTGGACTCGTTCTTTCCTTCTCTTTCTCCCAGGCACCGAAAGCCACGGCCGCGTGGTGCTTCTGCGCTTCCGGGGACAGGTCGGTGTACCGCGCGCCGCCCACCTGCGACGCGTCACGCCCACGGCACAGCGAAGGACGACGAGGGGCGTCCTCCACCGACCAAGGCCGCGCGAGGCGAATGGGTGATGAAACGCATCGTTCTAAGGCACTTCCGGTGTTTGGGATCGTTATGGGGATCGTTTTGGGGATCGTTTTGGCGTTGGATATTGCTGAGAGATCTGTACCTTTTTCTGTTTGTGGCGTTGGTCATTTCAGGGCGCTCTTTGCACGAGTCCAGTCCACGAGTGCGTGAGCGGATCGGATCGCCCAGGCACGTTGGGAATGGCCGTGTGACGTTAGCTGAAGAGTTCGGTCGAGTGTCCGGAGACCGGGTGGCCAACGAAAAAAACCACCTCACCGCGCCCAGTCGAAGTGTTTTTTCTACCCCTCCCTGCATCTCCCAGTGCGTGGACGGGGGTCCCCAGTTCCAAAGGTGTTCCACTGATTGTTGGGGGGTGGTGTACGTGGAAAACTCGACATGGACCTTGAAAACCGGCATGGTTTCTAGAGGAAAACAGTGTTGAACTCCAGGTCTCATGTTCAGCGTGACCGCGGATGAAGGGACGATCAAATCTGAAGGCAGGCCTCGGCCCTACCGTGCTGCACTAGTAACAAAGGCATTTCTACTAGGAGCAAGGACGCTACTGGTAGCTCCTGGCATCAGTGCTAGGAGGCTAGGAGCAAGAAGCTACTAGCTGTAAGAAGGGCGTCGCTACTAGGCCTCAGCACTAAAGTTCACCGCGACGTCTGAGAAAGCCTGCTTGTACCTCAGCGTGATGGCGACGAACAGGGGTGTGAACACAGATGGCACAAAGAGCCAAAGGCAACATGTGTTCAAGCTACTTGCAATTGCTCTACTTGATGTGTTTATGGTTCTTGACATGACCATTCCATCGGCCGGGGGCAGGTGGGACCAAAGAGCCAAAGGTGGGACCATAGAAGCATCAACTGAAGATCAATAATTGCGCTGATCTATCACCATAAGCACCAAACTGATTGCGGCGTCCTCTCCTTCGCCTTCAGCACATCAGTCTTTTCTTTTTCCAACATCGATGTGCCTCCAAACCTTTTGAATTCCAGAAGCTCCCTGGGGTTGACAACTATATATGTTGAACAAACAGCAACCTCATTGTAGTTGCTCCTTTACTGATTCGCATTGTAGCGTCTACTACGTAATGATGGGTGTGCAACTCTTGGACTTCAGTCTTGGAAACTGGCAGCCTTGAACCAACATCTTTTTGGAAGTTATCAGTAACTGCATGATGACCTTCACCCAGCTGTCCAACACTGTGCCCAGTGCGTAGTGAGTGGGACGAATTTGGAGGGGGACATTCTGCAGTTAGATTACCAACCCAAGATACCCAAGATCAAAAGGGCCTGCAAGCGCACTGGGACCGTTGCGCCAGTGATCTATGGTCGATCTGCAGGTGCACCACCAGGGTGTGGTGTGTGTATTTCGAGCTGACCCATGAATCGACTATGACTCGTTATGGGCAAATGGCATCGAATAGCTACATTCAAACTAGCTCGCCTTCCAGGGCCCACTCAGGACACAGGACGAAGCTCCCCGACCCAATGGCTTTGAGTCTCCTATGAAGCCCAGGTGCTCATCCCAGTCCTGGGAAGCCGAGAACGGGGCGTTCAGGGTAAAGCAACGCTTTGAAACTCATCAGGCAGTTCTGGTAGATGTTGGATACTTTTAGTCTTTTAGAAGGATTCACAGGATGTTTTTGGAGTATGGGATTTATGTGGATTTGTGAGTTGTAAGTGTTGGAAATCCATGGAGTGATGGTTGTTCCCAAGCATGGCGCGGTGGATGCGGTGGGCATTCTTCCATCCGATCCGATCCCAATCCAAAAATTAAGGCTATGCAACAACAATTCTGGTGGGCCGGTGCTTGGGAGGTGGTTGAACTGTTTTGAACTAGCATAAATGCAGCCCAAAAACATCCCGGCGGATCTAAAACCGCGCGTGCGTTTTCGCACGCCAACTTCAGAGGTGTTGCAAATCCACTGCAAAAAA